GGGATCGGATTGCACGCCGCAACAGACTTATTTAAAAGTCTATATTGGGGGATCGGATTGCACCCCGCAACAGACATATTTAAAAGTCTATATATATATATTTGATTAAAATAAATATATTGGAGTATTGAAAATAAATATAATGTGGGAGCGGTTTGCACGCTGCAAACGGAAATTGGTTGAATTAATAATTGGTTATGGTTGCTGAGTTAGCTTCAACTATTATAAATGAGTTACCTGATTTATTTTTATTATTTGTTGTTGTTACTAATATTGCGTACATGTTAATGTAAGTGACTTGCCTTAGCCTCGTCACTACTTCGTCGAGATTAGGCTCAGCACTTACCAGTACATAGGGTCGGTTGTACTGATACTACACTATGCACTTCTTGTGCAGATTTCGGAGTTGGTCCCAGCGGCGTACCATAGATTTGCTCGGATTTCAGCTACCAGAGAAGACGTGAGGTATAACTGCACGGCGTCCGCAGTTCTGAAATCCCCGTCTACTTTACTATAGTTGTGTGTTTGTTTTCAGACAGCTTTATTTTATTCAGACCTTTATTCATATTATTCTAGAAGTTCGTGCACTTGTGACACCAATTCTGGAATGGTATTTAGATACCGTTATTTTTATGGATTATTCACTACATTTCAGACTTTACTTCCGCATTTGTTTCTTTGTTATTAATAAATTTAAAAATTATTTTAAAATGGATAATATTATTCTAACGTTGGCTTACCTAGCAAGTGAAATGTTAGGCGTCATCACGGTCCGAAGGTGGGAATTTCGGGTCGTGACATTCCAGTATATTATACTGGTGTTTTTGAACTTTTAATACGGCTTTTGAAACTATATTTCATATGAAAATGCAGTATTAAATTCATCAAACACTTAGGTATTTTTAATGAAATCCTGCATTTCATGTTCACAAATAATTCATTTTTAGTATCCAGCATTGTATTCAGGACATTAGGAAAATATTGGACACTTAGATGTGTTTTTCTAATTTGAATCAAAGATACTTCCAGTATAATATGATGGAGAGTTTCTATTTTTACATATCAATTCAGAAAGTTCCATTGTAGTATACTGGTATCATTCCAGTATTCAGCAATTTGCTGGAAATAATGATTGACAAAAAATAAAAGAAATGCTAAATTTTACAAGTTTTTCTTGTACCTGTTTTCTGCATCTCTCTTAATGTCACTATATGTTCCTAGATTTTTTTGTTCCATCATGTAAAAATATGAAGGCAATTGCTCATAATTTTCTTATGTTGTTCCTCTTAATAAAGATATTCCTTTTTGAATAGTACACCATGCTTTTCCATACCCAACATCTATTTCATGTGCTCTTTTCATTTCTGAAATGACAAACTTAGACTTTACTTCAATAGCAACGTTTCGTAAGTTGTCAATCATTCTCTTATCACATTTGAAGTCGCTTGGATTTGATGTGACTTTCTAATGTCAACTAAGCATTCATGGTTTCTCTAAAAATTTACTATTCTATAAAGTGTCGGCATCTTAATTCTGAAACCTCGAACATTCCAACCACAGTTTTCATCAGTGCATATCAAAGAGTATCTTGTGGTACTTGATCTTTTAATATAGAACTCAAAATGTTCCTTGATTACTGCTAAGCAAAAACATCTAATCATAGTATTTTTGTCTTGAAAAACAGACCCCAATTTTACATCATCCAATGATGCATTTTCTTTTAGTATTATCGATGGCGATTCCTTTGCCTTTTCTTTTGCTTTTCTTTTTCTTCCTTCAATTGCGTGTGGTGTTTCAAATTGTTGACCTTTTACCGGAATTACATTCTCATTTTTTATTATAATTTGGAAAATCGGCATATGTTGCTCTTTTGGTATATATGTTGTTGGATGCAATAATTGCTGATTGTCAATCTCCATTATTGCATTTTCTTCTTCTTGTTAATCTCTAATAAAAATTTCAGAAAGTATTTCTGATATATCAACTACAAATGTGCTCCCTTTGTAGTATGGATCATATCTTAAAAGCATCATACATGAACTAAGTTCTTCATCTTTTATTACGTGTACTCCCTTGCCTGTACCTAGGTTCATATTAAACCATATTGTTGCTTCAAACTTGTTCATGTCCAATTCAATAGCTTCAAAAATCTTCTTAATGAAGCGTCAAATAAAATCCCGTCACTTACAAGCAGAAGCTTAGTGTTATGATTTAAATACTTGTAATCTGGTGTCCATTTTTCATTGAAAGCAATAATCAAAGAATTTTGTATGCATCCTGCATTTAATGTTCACAAATGATTCAATATTAGTATCCTGCATTTTATTCGTGAAACATGGGAAAGATTAGGCATTCACATGTGTGCTTCTTGTATGAATCAGAGCAACTTCCAGTATTATATACTGGAGGTTTGAAGATTTTACATATGAATTCACAAAGATCCAGTATAATATACTGGTATTTTGAACTTTTAACATATGCTCCAGTATAAAATACTGGTGTTCAATCTGTTTTCATGTGAAATTGCAGTATTAAATTCATCAAACATTTAACTATTTGATCACATACTGCATTTAATGTTCACAAATAATTCATTCGTAGTATCCAGCATTTTATTCAGGACATTAGGAGAAGATTAGGCATTCAGATGTGTTTATCTTGTTTGAATCAAAGATACTTCCAATATTATATGTTGGATATTTGTAGTTTTCACATATGTATTCAAAAAGGTTCAGTATATTATACTGGTGTTTTGAACTTTTAATACTGCTTTTCAAACTATTTTCATATGAAATTCCAGTATTAAATTCATTAGACATCTAGCTATTTAATGACATGATGCATTTAATATTCACAAATAATTCAATCTTAGTATCCAATATTTTATTCAGGACATTAGGGGAAGATTAGGCATTTAGATATGTGTTTATGGTATGAATCAAAGATACTTCCAATATTATATGCTGGAGATTTTGTAGTTTTCACATATCTATTCAAAAAGGTCCAATATATTATACCGGTGTTTTGAACTTTTAATACTGTTTTCAAACTATTTTCATATGAAATTGTAGTATTAAATTCATCAAACATTTAGCTATTTAATGACAACTTTCATTTAATGTTCACAAATAATTCATTCTTAACATCCAACATTTTATTCAGGACATTAGGGGAAGACTAGACATTTAGATGTCTTTTTCTATTTTGAATCAAAGATACTTCCAGTATAATATACTGGAGAGTTTGTAGCTTTTACATATCAATTCAGAAAGGTCCAATATATTATACTTGTGTTTTGAACTTTTAGCATATGATCCAATACAAAATACTAATTTTTTTTCAAACTATTTTATTCTGGTATGAATCAGAGAAACTTCCAGTATTATATTCTAGATATTTGAAATTTTTACATATGACTTCAGTAAGTTCTGCAATTAATACATGATATTGGCATGCCTTTAACCGTGTCCTTTTTAATCAAACAAACATTTTGTTGTTTAATGACATCATAAAGTACTGAAAATTAAATCATATTTATATATTGCACAATCAATCACAGAATAAATTACTGCAAAATAAAGGATTTTCATATGAAATTCAGCATAATATCCAACAAGCCAACAATTTTCAGCTACGATTTCAATTAGAAACGAGAAGAATTGAAGATTAACTCTAGATAAATTGAACGAAAAATAATCACGAGAAGAATAATCGTGAGAGTTTACGTATTAGGCTATGTCGCGTAACTTTTATAAACACTAGAGGGGTATTTTTGTCAACGAAATGTTTCCGTCTGAATCTACTGGCTAAATATAGTTGAATTTTGAATATGTGGCTAAATGTTATTGACCAGCTGTAAAAATGGCTACTTATAAATTTCACGCACCTTGGGCGGGTCATTTGGGTTTGGGCCACATTTGTTCTTGAATTGGAGAATGGGTGGGGTGGGGGGTGTTTAAAGCATTTGGGTTTGGGCCACATTTGGGTTTGGGCCACATAAGTTCTTGAATTGGAGAATGGGTGGGGTGGGGGGTGTTTAAAGCAAGAGAAAAACAAAAATTAATCCTATACGCATCATGAGCTTTTATCAATCGAGATTGCTGTAAAAACAAAAGGGGGTATAAATTTCACTATGAAGAGTTGTGGTCAACAAAAGATATGATACAATACAACTCTGCTGTTTCAGATATCTCCCGATGAACAGAAAGAATCAAAGACCGAAAATCAAGAAATCGCAAGCTGCAATTTCCCTATGCTGCTATCGAGGTAATGCTCTTTGCCAAAATAAAAAGGAAAAAAAAGAATGAAAACCAAAATCGAAAGCAAAGAAGCTATTGTACAAACCAAATTTCATGTTGCACCACAACCTATCAGCAAACTTACAGATGCAGTCTCCTTCTCCGACCACTACCACAAGGACCTCCGAACATTGCATTCAAATACATAACTACCAAGTCCACAAACAAAAGGACGTTTTTTGTAAAATTCATCTATGCAACTAACTATACTTTGTTCATATTGGAGAAAATCTATCCTCAAGAATGCTGTATCAGATGTAAGGTTGCACACTACAAACATTGGCTGACATAGGAACAAAAGATGTGTACATGAACAATCATGAACTAAAAGTATGCTTTTGCCGAAACAATCTGGGAAAAAGGATTATCATAATTGCAAACAAAATTGATTTTCACTTCATATTTCTAGCTAACAGAGAAAAAAGGTTGTTACATGGTGATGCGACCGCAAATACTCCTGTAAGCAATTAACAGTAGATATCCAGAAAACTGTGATCCAAGAGGTTGAACCACGATATGTTGCCACAGAGTGAGTGAAAGTATGCGTTCAAGCTACATCTTAACTACCACCTGTTCAGCAGAACTCTTCTTCATAACTCCTCTAGAGCACAACTCATTCAGTAACTCCAAAGCCTCCTCCGCTAAGCCTTCATAAGCAATGCCTTCAATTAGAATAGTATATGTAGATTCAGTAGGTTTACATCCCTTTGAAATCATATAAGCCAAGAAGTCAATTGCACGATCTGTTTGGCGAACTTTACACAGCCCCAACATAATGGCGTTGTAGGTTATAGCATTGGGCCTGACATCCAACCCTTCTAAGTCGTGAAAGAACTTAATGGCTTCATCAACTTTTCCTTCCCTACTAAGACCTGACACAAGCGAGGAATAGGTAATTATATCAGGCTGGAGACCTTTCTCTCGCATTTCATTCAGCAGTTCAATGGCAAGTTCAGTTTTCCCCACTTTGGATAGTCCATCAATCACTGTATTGTAAGTGATTAGGACTGGAGAACAACCTTTGTCACTAAGTTGATTAAGGATTTCAACTGCAACATCCACCTTACCATCTTTGCACAAAGCTGTGAGCAGCGTATTATAAGTCACAATATCAGGGTAACAACCCCTACTCACCATAACTTCCAAATACTCAATCGCCCGGTCCATTTTCTTCTCTTTGCAGAATGCATGAAGCAATGGATTATAACTCAAGGAATTTGGAGTACACCCATACTTAGGCATCTTCTCCAACAAATCAATAGCTCGTCCCAACAGTCCTTTCCGGCAGAGAAAATTGATCAAGATGTTAAAAGTGACAACACTAGGAGAACAGCCTTTTCTAACCATATCAGCCAACAGTTTCTCAGCATCCATCCATCTACCCGTACTACACATACTACGCAATATTATATTGTGCGTAATAACATTAGGTTGACAACCATAAGATGGCATATTATTCAGAAACTTGATAGCTTCATTCAATCTCCCTTCCTTACAAATCCCATTGATAAGAACATTATAAGTGACCACATCCGGTATACATCCTTTACTCCTCATTTCATCCAACAGCTTCATTGCCTGCCCCACGCCACTTTCCTTACATGTTGCTTCGATCAAAATTGTATAGGTAATCACATCAGGATAACACTCCCTCTGCAACATACGGTTGAGAACGTGCATAGCTTGTTTCAATTTCCCACCATCACATAAGGTACGCAAAATTGTATTGTACGTGACCACATCCGGTGCAACGCTCATTCGGTCCAAGACCTTCAAAGCATTATCAATTTCTCCAGACTTACAATAACCACTAATCAACACATTGTAAGTAATAACATCCGGAACAGCCCCGGAATCCTCAAGAATCTCCAAAACTCTTGTAGCCTTCTTAGTTTGGCCAATTCTACAAAACCCGCGAATCAAACTTGTACACGGAATAATATCAGGAATATCACCACCATACACCATACTCTCAAGGTGCTTAAAACTTTCTTCTAATTCCCCATTCCTGACCAACCGACGAAGATAATTATTACTCTCAAATTCCTCAAAGTTTTCAGATATGCTCCCTTGCACATGTGGCCTCTTTTCAACACATGATAACCTACCATTCGTGCCTAAAGTTTCACTTCTTGAAATAGCAAATACCTTACTTTGTCTCTGTTTTCTCAACTGGCCCACAAGTACCTTTATTGAACTGCTTCTGAACCTCCTATTATTACAACCCGACAAACGCTTACTAGTAATTTCCTTACGAGTAGAGTGAAATGAGCAAAACCCTTCATGGGTTTGCTTCGTTGGCACTATTAACTCCATCACAAAGTTTTACAACAACACAAAACTAGTAACAGTATTCAAAAGCACAACTAAAAAGACTGCTCATTCTAGACTATATGTAACTATCTATGTCGGCAAGCCTTTTTTTTTTTAGACCAAAAACTGCAGAGAGTAAATAAAAAAGCTTGTTGTGTTGTTTACTGTATGAAGATTGTTAGCAAGAAACAGGGAACTTACTCTGAGAGCTTTGTTCCGGCTAAGAAGGGCTACGATAAGAGAGCGACAGAGCTGTCTTTTGCCGGTTCTTCTTTCTTATCCTCTGCTTCTGTCTTTTGACAGGTGAACCGAAGCCCAAATAGTTGATAGATCAAATAGGGCAGGCGACCCATCAAGAGGAAGCCTCGATCTTGAGGCCTTAAAACTAAGTGAAAATGACACGAGGTAGCCACTTTAAAGCATGTTATTTAAAATATATCCACAATTTATAATGTATTTAAAGATTAACCAATTCGCTCCAACTTTAGGATACGACGTCCTAGAGTTTAAACCTAAAAGTTCAAACTTTAGGACATCGTGTCCTAAAGTTCGAAAATTATGTCCAGAAGTTCGAATTTTATGTCCTGAATTTTAAATTAGTAGTTCAGAAATTCAGGACACTTAGTCTTGAAGTTGGGGTGAATTGGCTAATCTTTAAATATATTATAAATTGTAGATATATTTTAAATAGCAGGCTTAAAAGTGGCTATTGGTGCACTTCGCCCTTAAAACTAACATCCCTGGGCCTTGGCATGCCCAAAACTGTTGAAATCGAAAATTTTGATCTTTTGTTGTTTTTAATGGAAAAAGACATATATTACCCCTAAAGTTATTCGAAAATGCAATTACAGCCATCTCATTACCCCTTATTCTTGTTTATAGTAGAACTAGTTCTCTAATACGTGAGTTGCACGTGTATCCCATGCTAATTAATATTAAATATTTAAAAAATACTATAATAAGTATCCGTTGAGTTGCACAGAAATTGAAGAGGAAAATTACAAGCTCAAACTGATGAATAATGATCCCCTCATGCTCCCCCTACCCTCTCTTTTCTTTTTCCTTTCTAGGGCTTCTTTGACCGTTTTAGCTGTGATTGTCGCTGGCTCTGCTACACCCCCCTTGTTCTTATTTGCTTCTTTCTAGGGCCTCCATTCACCAGTGGTAGCCATGACAGCCCCCCTCCCCTCATTTTCTTTGGTCCCGTGGTGTTTTTGTGTGTCTTCCAGGCATTATTCTGTGGTTGTTAGAGAAGTGAGAGGCGCACGCGCAAACATAGCAGAGCAGCCCGGGTGGGCGTCAGCAAGGGTCGGTGGGAAGTTGTACGTGAACGCGTCAAGTGCTGCAACAATGTCGTGTACACCAAGACTGTTTCATTAAAAGCTAAATGACTTTTTTATGATCTTTGATATATGTTTTACTCTTCTACTAGGAGAACCTTCAGCTCGCATGGCAATAAAAGTGTTGTTTACTTTTTCTTAAGTTATAAATTTGCTTTTTTATGCATCCGATGTGTTCACTTTAGTTCTACCTTATATATTGACTATATTCTTTTGTGAATAACCAAAACTACATTCAATCAACAAAGGCATCATCGCATTCCATACTATAGGTACATTAACTTTATGTGAAAATAATATCCACCTTAAAATAATAATTAAAATAATCTTTTAACTTTTCAATATTACTAATAACAAATACTTAGCTATCTCTAACAGTTGCCTCCCATATTTTTTAGAAGTTAGCCTTCATATCATCAAACACTATCTGATTTTAGAAGATGGAAATAAATTAAAAGCCACAGTGGAATGCAAGAAGTGGAGATGGCAGCCCAACCAATAATAAAAAGGGAACGAACAATCGTAATAGGTAGAGAGCCTATCAAATTCAAGGTAACAGGGGCGTACATAGGATTTTGCATAAGTGGTGTCGACATTTAAAGAAGTAAACAGAGAAACAAATATAGTAACGACATCATATTATAAAAAGTACCTTACTACAACTCTCCTCGACGAGTTTTCATATTTTGGAAGGTATTCATAATAGCTTCATGTAACAACCCGGTCGGTCGTTTTGAAAGTTGTAGCCCCGTTCCCCCATTTACTGCTCATTTTATGCTTTGCAGTTATTATATGACTTGCTGGGGTAGTTGGTTCGGCTCCGAAGAGGTTTCGGAATAAGTTGAGACACTTAGTCTTAAGGTTGAACGCTTAAGTTGAAATGGTTGACCAGATGTTGACTTATGTATAAATGACTCCGAAATGGAGTTTTAATGGTTCCTTTAGCTCCGTCGGGGTGATTTTAGACTTAGGAGTGTGTTCGGATTGTGATTTGGAGGTCCGTAGTTGAATTAAGCTTGAAATGGCAAAAGTTGAAAATTTGAAAGTTTGACTAAGAGTGAATTTTGTGGTTACGGGGATCGGATTGGGGTTCCGGTAATGGGAGAAGGTTCGTGGTGTCATTTGTGACTTGTGAGCAAAATTTGAGGTTAATCGAATGTGATTTGATAGGTTTCAGCATCAAATGTAGAAGTTAGAAGTTCAAAAGTTCATTAGGCTTGAATCGATGCGTGATTCATGGTTTTAGAATTGTTTGATGTGATTTAAGGGCCCGACTAAGTTCGTATGATATTTTAGGACTTGATTGTATGCTTGGTTGAGTCCCGGGGGCCTCAGGTGAGTTTCAGATTGTTAACAAATCAATTTTCTAGACTTAGGGATGTGCTGAAGTTTTCTCGTGTCTGTATCTGGTTTCCTTGTACGCGATCACATAAGAGGGTCCGCGATCGCGTAGGCCAATTGGGACAGCTGGGGAATTTGTTCTATGCGATCACCAGTAGTGGCACGCGATCGCGAACACTGGAGAGTCTGGGCATCGCGAACGCGTGGCAATGGCCGTGTTCGCATAAGAGAAGTGAAGCAGCAGTGGAGTTCACGCACTATTTCTTGCGGTCGCTTGAGAAAGGACACGATCGTGTAGGTCTGAGGAGGCAGTGGTCCGCGATTACATGTGTGGAGACGCGTTCGCGTAGGCTTGAATTTCTGGGGCAACTGAGTTGCGCGATCGCGAAGAAGGGTCATCTGGGCAGACTTAAATATTTTTAAAATGAGGGTTTGAGTTCATAACACAAATTTAATTTTGGGAGCTCGGTGGGAGGCGATTCTTGGAGAGATTTTCAAGTGGGTGGTTAAATTCCATGTTTATGTCTTTGATTTCATCATTTAATTAGTGACCTAGGGGTGGAAAATTAGGGGAAAATGGAAAAACGTTCTTAGGCCGAATTTTGAGAATTAGATCGAGGTTATGGTATCGGATTTGAGTAATTTTGGTATGGTTGGACTCGTGGTTGGATGGGTGTTCGAATTTTATGACTTTTACCCGATTCTGAGACGTGGGCCCGGGGGCCAACTTTTGAGTTAACTTTTTGACTTTTGATAAAGAGCTCAGTATTTTCTTATAGAATTGTTTTCTTTAGCTAGTGTTGATTGTATCGAATTGTTTGTGGCTAGATTCGAGGCATTCAGAGGCCGTTTCGTGAGGCAAGGGTGTGTTGGAGTAGAGGTTTGCACGGTTTGAGGTAAGTAACACTTCTAAACTTGGCGCTGAGGGTATGAAACCCCGAATTAAGTGTTATGTGATTGATGTTGAGGTGACACGCATGCTAGGTGATAGGCGTGTGGGCGTGCACCGTGTAAATTGTGATTTAGTCGATTCCATGGAACTGTGTAGCTATTGTATCTGAACATTTTTACCGTATTCCATGTGTTATAGCACTTGAGCTGTAATTCATGCTAGGAATCATATTTAGGCTATATGCTGGTACTATTTGGACCCACAATGGTCGTCCTTAGTTGTTGAAGTTATTTTCTTAGTTGCAATTATGTACTCAGTCGCATTCATCATTATGCATCATATCTCAGTCTCTGTTATTGTGTATTATCACATCTCGTATCATTGATTAGGGCTGCTCGAGGTTCGGGTGGTCCTAGTGGTGCTCATTCTGGGGGGACAATCTTACTACCACAGGGGGCGTCCTTATAGGCCCGCTTAGAAGGCTCGTCCAATTCACCATGGTGCATCGTCTAGCCATGGTTCATATAGTGCCCGTCTGGGCTAGTCATCTCTCAGTGCTCTTCCATCTCATGGTTCATCTCATGCACCATCAGTTCATGGTTCATCTGTACCAGGTTCTTCTGACAGTTATTCTAGTTCTTGGGGTCCGCCTCAGTATTTGTTGCCATTTTCTGAGAGGGGATGTTTCGAGTGTGGAGAGTTGGGTCATGTGAAGAGGTTCTGTCCCCGCCTTACGGGAGGTCAAGTTCAGCAGATGAGTCAGTCCACAACTTTAACACCCGTTACTTCACCACCCACCCAGCCAACTCGAGGTGGGTCTCAGGCAGCTAGGGGTCATCTAAGAGGGGGAGGCTGATCAGGTGGCGGTCAGGCCCGATTCTATGTTATTCTTGCCAGGATAGATGTCGTTGCTTTTGACACAGTGATCACAGGTATTGTCTCAGTATGCCACATGGATGCTTCTGTATTATTTGACCATGGTTCCACTTATTCGTATGTACATCGTATTTTGCTCATTATTTGGATATGCCCCATGAGTCCTTAGTTTTATCTGTTCTTGTATCTATGCCGGTGGGCGATACTATTATTATGGACCGTGTATATCGGTCGTGTTTAGTGACTATTGGGGGATTGGAGACTAGAGTTGATCTCTTGCTGCTTAGTATAGTTGATTTTGATGTGATCTTAGGTATGGATTGGTTGTCTCCATGTCATGCTATTCTGGATTGTCACGCTAAGACCGTGATGTTGGCGATGTCGGGGTTGCCAAGGATCGAGTGGAGAGGTTCTCTAAATTATGTTCCCAACAGAGTGATTTCATATTTGAAGGCCCAACGGATGGTTGGGAAGGGATGTCTGTCATATTTGGCCTTTGTGAGGGATGTTGGTGCTGATACTTCTACTGTTGATTTTGTTCCGGTGGTGCGAGATTTTTCGGATGTGTTTCCTGCAGACTTGTCGGGCATGCTGCCCGACAGGGATATTGACTTTGGTATTGACTTGGTGCCGGGCACTCAGCCCATTTCTATTCCTCTGTATCATATGGCACTAGCTGAGTTGAAGAAATTGAAAGAACAACTTTAGGAACTTCTTGATAAGGGATTCATTAGGCCTAGTGTGTCGCCTTGGGGTGCACCGGTTCTATTTTTGAAGAAGAAAGATGGTACTATGTGGATGTGCATCGACTATAGGCAGTTGAACAAAGTTACAATCAAGAACAAGTATCCTTTGCCACACATTGATGA